GCTTTTCCGGGGCTAATTACCTCGBGGCCGCGCCGCCTCTAATGTGACATGTTTATTGCCCTAACGAACAACTCATTAGCCGCCCTGATGTTTTTGTCAATATTAATTCCTTCGCTTAAGCCAAGGCAAAGCTTTTAAACAAAGATGTCCTGGCTGAGGATTGGGCAGGATTGGCTTCATCCAGCGGGATTCCCGGGGAAAAGCCGGGAATGTTTCGTCGGGGTAACGGCTGAGGAGTCGCTTTCAGAGCTGGGGCATAACACTGACAGTTTTGGGTGTTGTTGGTGTGAGTCACCAGGAAAATGTGAGGTTTGTTTATTAAACCAAACAAGCCAGGAAAACCTGATAAAATCAGTAATTACCTTTATCAGGAGGTAACAAATAACGATGAGGAGATAATAACAAACTACCCGCGTTGGGAAGCGTCGCTCCTACGCGTAAATAATGAATTTTATCCAGTGAAATGAAATATTAATGATGTTCCCTCGATATCCAGCGCTTGGACTGGGATTTGGGATTGCTGGGGATTGTTTGGGATGTGGTTCCTCCCCCCAGGCAAGGCACTGACGTTCCTGCTGCTGCAGCCGCCCAGCGCCCGGCTGCCGGCGCACTCCACCATCCGCCGCACCGCCATCGACCTCATCGGCCGCGGCTTCACCGTCTGGGAGCCCTACATGGACGTGTCCGCCGTGCTCATGGGGCTGCTGGAGCTCTGCGCCGACGCTGAGAAGCAGCTGGCCAAGTGGGTACCCCCAGCACTGGGCCGTTCCCATTCCCATTCCCATCCTCGAGTCCTGGGGCCGAGGAGGGCAGGGTGAGGTGAGACATGGGGAAGAAATCCCTCCCTGCCAGGGGGGGCAGGCCCTGGCACACCCTGGAAGCGGCCAAGGCCAGCTTGGAGCCACCTCCTCTAGTGGGAGGTGTCCCTGAGATGATCCTTCAAATCCTTCCCAGCCCAAACCATTCCACCAAGTATTTGTTGGTGCCACCACGCAGATTTTAAATGAGGGTTGTTTTAATCCCATGGATGTTTTTGGGAGCTGGTGAGGGTTCCCTGACCTTATCCTAAGGCAGAGATCCCCCCATTTCATAGAAGTTTTCATTTCCTCGAGATACTAAGAACAAATCTATGGAGAAATGTGGAGAAATTGGATTCCCAGTGTATTTTGTGGGAACTCCAGTTACTCCTTGTGAGTGACAAAAGCCCATGTTTTATCCAGGAGCTTTTATGTCGAGCTCCAGATGTATATAAAAAAAAAATCACATTTATTGACCAGGATTTCTTTTTTTTCCCTGCTGAATTCAAGGAATATCCAGGTGTTTGTAACTCCAGTTCATCCCAATCCCCAAAAGTTTAGACCGTGCCGAAGGAAACCACTCGGTCGTGAGGGCTAAGAGTGTTTTCCCAGCATTTTTAGGCTTTGTCCTGGCACAGATAGGAGGGTAGGAATCATTTTGGGCTGGGTTTTGGCCTTTTCAGTTCATGTTTAAAATAGGTGATGTTTGAGCCAGGTTATCATGGAGTGGTTTGGGTCGAGAGGGATTTTAAGGATCATCCAGTCCCACCCCTGCCACGGGCAGGGACACCTTCCACTAGTCCAGATTGCTCCAAGCCTGGCCTTGGACACTTCCAGGGGTCACAGCAACTAAAAAAACCTTGAATTAAAGAGAATTTCCCTGCCCAGAAGATTTCTCAGCCTTCAGTGTTTCAAACACTGGAAAAACCCCAACCATAAATCCTCGGGAAGACGCTCCGGGCTCCCCGGCCTCTCCCTCCGTGGGGGTTGATGTGTATTCAGCACATCCAGATCATTTGTTAACAAGGCCTTTCCCCCACTTCGGACAGATGCACTCCCTGTTTTCAATCTTCATGGTTAATTATTCGATTTGGGGTTGATGCAGGAACACCCTGACTCCTAATCACCGCTCATTGTTGGGAGTCCATTATCCCGGAACCGCCGGAGCGCTCCCGCTGACCTTGAACTGACATTATAAGCTGCTTTCTAATCTTTTTGCACTCGATATTTTTCTAATGCTCCTTTTTTTTTTTTTCTTTCTTTCTTTCTTTGTCCCTGCCTTTTGTCCACCCT